GAAGAGCACACAGATGGTGAAGAGCACAGATGAAGTGCACACACAGATGATGAAGAGCACACAGATGATGAACAGCACACAGATGATGAAGTGCACACAGATGGTGAACAGCACACAGATGGTGAACAGCACACAGATGGTGAAGCGCACACAGATGATGAAGCGCACACAGATGATGAACAGCACACAGATGGTGAAGAGCACACAGATGAAGAAGAGCACACAGATGGTGAAAAGCACACAGATGATCATTCTCCTGCTATACACTCATCTATCACAGCTCCTACAGTAAACAAGATCTGTCTGCACCGCTGCTTCAGTACAGTACTACAGTACATCATACTGTACACTGACATAAGGTTTTTATGTTGGGATTCACTGTGTGATGAAGAGTCTGGTGAGTGCTTTATCTGATGCTGAAGTGAAGTAGCAGAGTGTGAATATAGTGATGAATAGCACCTTGTATTCCGGCAGCTGTCGCAGGAGGAAACACGCCAGAACCTCATCGCAGTGAAAGGTGCCGTTATGAGTCCCGATCTTCATCTTCATCTTCCTCAGAAGAGCGTTATTCAGAAACACTTGACTGACCGACCGGCGGAGCACGTGCATCAGCTACCTCTTCTTCTTCCTCCTCCTCCTGAAGGGGTTCAGCGGCTGGAGAAGCAGCGTTAGCGCCACCTGTCGGTCAGGAGTGACGCGATCTCACTGTCCACTGTGTCTGTCATATGCATGATTTCATCTGTTGCTCTTAATAACACACTGTGCTGGTCTACTAGGGCATTCGGGAGATAGTTTAATGCTGAGCTGTGCAAATCCCAAGATTTGTTGACAAAGTAATTGCATTGTTATTAAAACATTAATTTAGCACACAATAGTGAATATACCTGGTAGATGTTTCAAGCTTTCTCTTAATGTTTTATTCATTGAAAAACTGCCTGTGCTTCTTTATTAGCCAACAAAAACATGCAAAAGATTCCTCAGCACACACAGTCGGAGTAGCAGCTAATTTGGTTCTCGAAAAAGGCAGTCCGGTACTAAAATCGCACCCAGTTCCGGCGGTGCGAACACGCCAAAAAGTGGGTAGTTCCACAATTAGTTCTGGTACTATGAAAAGGTTCCCGCGGTGCGAAAGGCCCCCATAATTGTCATTTATAAGGTCTCTCAGAATCAGCTCATCCGCGCAGCACTTGCTCAGCCTCTCACCTTGCCATGTTTCATGTGTTTGTGCTCCTTGTGAGCTTTATGAGCTTTATGGCCTTTCTTCATCTTCTTGTGTTTCTTGTGTCCAGGTGCGTGGACTCCTGCGGGGTGGCCCCCGTACTGAGGGACGGGGCAGGGGTGAGCGGCCCCGGGGAAGGGCCCCGCCGGGGGGAAGGGCCCTGCCGGGGGGAAGGGCCCTGCCGGGGGGAACGGCTGGTTGGGTGCGGGGTACGGGATGGTCATGGGATGGTTCATGGGTGGATAGACAGGGTTGGGTCCAGGCGGGCCGGATGGGATGGGCATGGCTGGGTACGCTGGGTTTGGAGGACAAGGAAAGGCAGGATTGGGCGGCCCAGCGGCTGGAGGTCCTGAGAGGAGAAAATCACAATACTCCAACACACAGAAAACACTCAACATCTACAGTGGGAGAATCACCAACATGCTCTTCCAACCCAGATTACTGTTTCCTTTCTTCCATGAAACATAGACCTAAACTGGTTTGTTCATTAAATGACAACAGATGATTTTCAATGGCGAACTGCAGAAGAGTAATGGCAGGCCGTACTGTATGACATCTCCATCTGCTTTCATAACAGAGCTGCCCTTCGACTTACAATTCAGGCTGGAACAGTAAATGACAACAACAACAATGACAATGACCTGCTCAAAGTACTGCACCGCTAGTGTGTTTAATATCAACCGCTTGTGCTTCAGGACTCAGATGTGGCAGCCATGTGCACTGACTCTGACCTCAAAGAAGCTGAGAGCCTTTCCATCAGTCACCTTGTTGTGCTGGGTTAAACTAGCTACTGAGACTGGTAGAGATCCTGGAGGAACTAGCAGCTAAACTAACAGCTGTTTTTAATACAGAAGGGGACAAAACTCTCTGTGTTTGGTGTTAAAAAGGCACTGCTAGAAGAACTCACACACTCACACACACACACACACACTCACTCACTCACTCACACACACACACTCACACACACACTCCTCAGGAACACTAGACTTGTATCGAGCCTAAACACCCCTGACTGAGGCACACATAGACGCTGATGAGTTGAGAAATGATTAATGAATGCAAAAATCACCTTGATTTGGCCACATGTTTGTCTCTTCCAAATGACCTGCAACAAATAAAAAGACAGACGTTATTCTCTGATATAAAGTGAACAAACACTAATGTCCACCAAAGATTCACCGCTTTCACTGCCCACCTCAAACCGCTTCTGTTTATTTATATATATATATTATATTATTATTACTTCTGATATTTACTACAAATATGGTTTATTTATAGGAACTGTTTGCATTATATTAAGCAGTGCCTAAAATAGCCAAAGACAAATACACAATTAAAGCAAGTCTAAAACAGTCTAGAGTTATAAAACAGTTATGAAAACAGAATGTGAAAAGTCATTGAATGCAAAGGTCAAATGAAATGGGATTTTACTGCTAATGCTTACAAAGGTGAGAAAAAAGCCAATGTCAGATTAATCAACTTTTTTTTAAACCATATGTCGAATAAAAATATTTCCCAATGTTTCAAATGTTGTCCACCCTTCTTTGGCCTCACAGTCTCTGTCCAATCAACACGCTTTCTTTAATAAGCACTGCCCTTTCTGATGTATAGCCTGCTGTTTTCAGATCTGCTGTTGTGTATCTGAATTTCATTTGCACTGCAGGACCACCTTATTTTACAGGTTAATTGTGATAGGAGGAATCTCACTTCACCACATTTGCAAAGCAAATGGGAAATAATAATAATAATAATAATAATAACGACAATAACAAAACAAAAAAACAACAACAAAAAGATACATATGATTTTTTTCTAGATAACTATGATTTTTAAATTCAACTACATTTCTAGTCATTAAATACGCGTAAAACACAATTATCTGTGTTCTTTTCTGAAACTGCGCACTCCATGTAATCCACATCCGGGAACTGGAAACGCCCTGGACAAACAACAGCTCTCTCTCTCTCTCTCTCTCTCTCTCAGATCTGAACAACTAACAGAACTTCTGATTGTCAATAAGCCCAAAATACATATTCCGTTCACATAAAAGCTGTTAAAAGGCAATGATATGAAATAGCGTACCATTCAAATGCAACAACAAATAAAGTCATGTGGTAGAGCCTGCTTTCAGGTATTGCGGTAAAGATAAGCCGATGGCAATTTTCTAAAGATGTATTTAGTATTTGCAAATAACGGCAACAGTAATGATCAGGTTTAGACACATACCTGCTACGACACCTGTCAAGCTGTAATGAGTCCTGCTTCCGCATTCCGCGAGCTCACCGATCACCGGCGGACTCTGACCGCCTCACCTGACAAACATCGACAGGTATATCTGTGGTTTTATACTGCAGCCTGTCGCTGTTCAGATATTCAGAGGCGTTTATTTGAAGAGTAAACTCTCAGCTGATAGTAATGGATGAATGGTAATTTTCAGAACAAAATCAAGTTCAAAAAGAACTAAATCAAACATGTTTGTTCTAAAATTAATGAAATATAATGTAGAATTACAGTGAAATAATTCTATGTAATTGTAAGGAGGGGCCTAAATCTGTAACCCCATCCCTTCCTGCTGATGCTCTTATATGACACTGATATAAACACAAAACCAGATTCACCTCCACTCCACTGCAGCTCCCAGTAACAGCGTCCACACACACTCTCTCTACACAACACCTGACACACACGATCAAATCTGTCTGGATGATCAGGATACGGCTGGAGTTTGCCAGTGTCAGTAATCACTCTGTTCCTTTCAGACAGACGGAGGAGTTCATTCACTGTGTTCAGATCCAGAGTGAGCTGATGGGAATCTGACGGAGATAAAACACATCAGAATCAGGAGTCATGAATGAATTCCTTGATCAGACCCACAAAGACCCGATCTTTAAAAAAAGACTATAAAATGACTAAATGTAATATGGAGCGAACCTACACTAACCCTAAACCTCACAGAAAACATTCTCTATATATAGTCTCTATATAAAAGGTAAACATTTTTTACATTTTTTTGGTTGTGGGAGAACAGTTTAGACCAATTCTGTAGAATGGCCCATATACACTGAACAAAATTATAAACGCAACACTTTTGTTTTTGCCCCCATTTTTCATGAGCTGAACTCAAAGATCTAAGACTTTTTCTATGTACACAAAAGGCCTATTTCTCTCAAATATTGTTCACAAATCTGTCTAAATCTGTGTTAGTGAGCACTTCTCCTTTGCAGAGATAATCCATCCACCTCACAGGTGTGGCGTATCAAGATGCTGATTAGACAGCATGATTATTGCACAGGTGTGCCTTAGGCTGACCACAATAAAAGGCCACTCTAAAATGTGCAGTTTTACTGTATTGGGGGGTCCGAAAACCAGTCAGTATCTGGTGTGACCACCATTTGCCTCACGCAGTGCAACACATCTCCTTCGCATAGAGTTGATCGGGTTGTTGATTGTGGCCTGTGGAATGTTGGTCCACTCCTCTTCAATGGCTGTGCGAAGTTGTTGGATATTGGCAGGAACTGGAACACGCTGTCGTATACGCCGATCCAGAGCATCCCAAACATGCTCAATGGGTGACAGTTCTGGTGAGTATGCTGGCCATACAAGAACTGAGATGTTTTCAGCTTCCAGGAATTGTGTACAGATCCTTGCAACATGGGGCCGTGCATTATCATGCTGCAACATGAGGTGATGGTCGTGGATGAATGGCACAACAATGGGCCTCAGAATCTCGTCACGGTATCTCTGTGCATTCAAAAAGCCATCAATAAAATGCACCTG